CATCTTTTATTTTCTGTAAAGCATCATGAGCTAAGTATGGTGATCCCTTAGAGTGACAATGCCGAGATTGGTGTTAATGTTACTTTCATAGAGAGCTTTGCCTTTACCTTGCTGTAAATGCAGCCAGCTGATTATGGGGAAAGAAAATCAGCTCCTAGACCCAATTATAAAAGGATGCTGGTAAAAGTTAGGGTATAAAAAAATCATAACTCCCAGCTTACATCAGGCAAAAATTGATTCAGAAAAAGAATACTTCCTTTCCCCAATTCTAGAATGCTCTTCAAGCAATCCTCTGTTTCAGTGTGAGAACTTACTTACCCAAAATGTAACCATTCAAAATCCCTGTGTGCTCTTTAGGGAGCCACAGCACCTATTCAGCGGTCACCACCAGCTCCATCCCTTTCACAGAAATGGCTGTAACCTGGCATGTGGATCCAAGCTTTGTAATGAAGACTGCAAATAACACCCGCTGAATTTGGGGGTCCCCAGTCCAGCTGGGGACAATCCACCTAAAGAAACAAAGCTGCCAGGCAGTCACCAGAAACCCTCAGTGAAGAGCAGGGATGCTGCAGAACATGGCAGGGTCATGGGGAAAATAGCACCAACTCCAGCCATGGCTGGAAGAAAGAAAAGCCAAGAGACACAGGTGCTTGACATAAGATTTTATGAGGTTTGGTGCCCTAACTGCCAGTGCAGGAAAGCCACTTCAACTCAGATATCATATTTAATTATGTATCAGTGAAATAGCAGCCTGAACACATGCCTAAGGTTACGTGTTTCAGGGGATTCCTCAATAAATAAACACCACAAATAACAGCCAAAAGACACTAGGAAAGTTTCTTTTGAATCTTCACTTTCCCATTTTATGGAGCCATCAGGTCCCAACATAAATCAGAAACAATGCTTCTGTCAATGAGGCTATTTTGGTGAGATATCTGGTCCCAGATCTTAAAAAAAAAAATTATCCAGGAGCAAAACAATGATCCTAGATCAATCCTTCATATGTTCTGAGTAGTAAATAGTAGAAAAACTAGTTTTGTTTACTGATGCATCCAAAAATCTTATTCCACACAACATTTTGCAGTTCTTCTTATGTAGTAACTACCTACAATTAACTGTCAGCCTAGCTGTGATATAATAATTCTGCAGCTTTCATTTCTATATGTATATAATTATTTCATAATTATATATAATTATAATTACAGGAAATAGGACTCTCCTACAAATAACCCATCTCTTCCCATTGAAGATAGAGTTGCAAGTTGCTACATGACCTTCATGAAAGGCTACACGACCTTCATATCACCTTCTAGTGAAGAAAATTCACGTGATTTTACATGTTACAGGAGAAATAATATTTAATTTTACATGTTACAGGAGAAATAACACCACACAGCTAGAGACCCCATTAGGAAACATCCTTCATGGCCATTTTGCCACAGCACACAGCTTACAATGCAGAGGACAGCGTGTGGTGTTCATGGGTCTTCACAGGCAGCTTACCCAGAAAGCAACATGGTCTTCGTTTGGCTTGGACTCTGAGAGCAACCATGAAGACAAAAATTAGATTGCTATTTGTAAGAGGGGAGAGAAGGCAAGCCAAGACTGAAACAAAATGTTAGCACTGCAGTACCTTATGTCAGCACACATTTCCAGGAACTTCCCAGTTTTTTAGAACAGTGTGGCTGCAGAATATCCTATTTCTCATCACTCGCATACACAGTCCTCAAAACTAAACTGAACTGAGGTGTTTGGGGGTTGGGGTTTTTCTAATTGGTTTCTTTATTATTATAGGTTTTTCTTTCTTTTTCAAATAGGGTTTTTAAGTATTGTTTTGGTTGAGTGCAGCATATCCAAGAAAAGAGTTTTGTCTAGTTTTGACTACAATATAGTCGAAATACATTTTTATAGCTAGATCCAGAATGGTTCTTATTTTTCTCTGGAGGTTAATTTCAGCAAGAGCAATTTATAGCTGAAATAAAGCCAGAGGAATTACATTTTCTCATGTAAAAATCATACATCTTCTAACAGTTTTAATAGACCATGGTATGCAATTACTGCACTGTACCTCTAAATGTGTACATGATATATCCCTATTTCTGTTGCTTTAATAACAAATGCATCACTCCACCTTTATAATCCTTTATTTGCCTGCTGAGATTGGTACCTGAGATCAAGACACCATATGCCATAAAAAGGACACTGATTTTTTCAATTTCAAAAGAGTTTGCTTTCCACTTTTGGATGCTGCCAACATAGGAAATGTTATTATGTTTAAGTCCCCAGAATAATATTAGATGTCAGACTATATATAACAACTAAGGAGCATCAAAGCCCAGCCCATGCATGGATCTACAATAATTTCCATTTTGAAGCTAAGGCAGAAAGATCATTAGTGCCTGGGACTGGACCAGCCCTGACGCAGAGCTGCATTGCTTCCTCCTCAGCATGGGGCCACAAGACCACACTTGCCCCAAGCCAAGCAGACAGGCAAAGAGCAGACCACACACAGTGATTATAGAGGTGCTCCATTCAGACTCAAGACTGGTCAGAGATAGAACCAGAGAATCATAGAATGGTTTGGGTTGGAAGGGACCTTAAAGATCATCTGGCTCCAACCCCTGCCATGGGCAGGGACACCTTCCACTAGACCAGGTTGCTCCAAGTGCCATCCAGCCTGGCCTTGAACACTGCCAGGGATGGGGCAGCCACAGCTTCTCTGGGCAGCCTGTGCCAGGGCCTCACCACCCTCACAGTAAAGAACTTCTTCCTAATACCTAATCCAAATCTACTCTCTTTTACTTTAAAGTCATCCCTCTTTATTCTGTCACTATGTGCACTTGTAAAAAGTTCCTTTATATACATAATATAGGAGTCTGAGATGGAGGCAGATGCATAGATGAGACTATGAATGAAAACCAGATATAACATCTTCCCCCCCCCCAAAAAAAAGAAAAAGGCATTAAGACTCTATTACCTCATTGGTAGCATCCAGCAGTTAATATCTTAGACATTACTTTGAGACAAATCTCAACAAAATAATCGCCTTAAACAGGAGTGCACTTGCATTCAGTCCATAGCTGAAACAGGCATAGAATACAGATATGGTACAAATCAGGCAAAAGAAGCAAAAACTGGCCAAGCTCAACTCACCACCCATCCAAACTAGCACAACCACTACGTTAACATCATGTTTAGCATCTGCCCTGGAGACCCTCGGCACAATACCTGTTTGATTGCCGTTCTGGAGAGATTTGTGCCTGCAGTGTGTGATGCTGGGGCTTCAGTAGATCTCTGGATTTATTGCCTCTGATCCTGCAATACATGTACAAGGATCTTCAGCAGCCCGGCATGGCAAGGACTTCAGTTTCAGATGCTATCAGAAAAATAAATGACTGCTGACAGTGATATCATTTGGGCATGGTTCTTTATAGATAATCGAGAAAAACCTTCCTACTTGTAAACCAGCAAATGTATCAACATTCAATTTTTTTTTCTTCTACCAGGAAAATCAGAAATACTCACAAGTATTAGGATATATTGCACTTTATCAGTAAATTAAACCCACTCCATGTTTCAGTAATACATTTTCTAACTGTGAGGGAGCACTTGCCAAGAAAGCATTTCTGCTTTGGAAACACCTGTGCGACAACAGAACATGGCTTGCAAATTATCTGTGGTCCCATGTATCATTAGAGATAGCTATTACATGAAGAAAGCAAAATATAGCTCAAGGTTTTGCATCAAAGGGAATCAGTAGTGTCCTACTTGCGTGGTTGTTCTACTTGTGTAGCCTGTGTTTTTCAGTCCCCAGTGGCTGGGGGCTGCTGGGGGGCCTCTGGAGATGAAGTTCTCTGGGAAGATGCTCTTGCTATCCCAGCCAACTTTCAGCATTCAGAGACTTCTGAAGGTATCGGGACTAAATGTTCCTCCTTTCTGATGAAGAACTCTAACTAATATCCCAATACATGCCTAAGTGCAGTACAGGAATGCCATGAACAAGAGGCTGTTGTTCAGATTGTGCATCAGCACCCCATCTGAAGAGAAACCTCATGCCCTGCTGTTGAGGCAGTGAGCATTGAGTGACTGAGCATTGGGCAAAGAAACCTGGAAAGCTGAACACGCACACAAGCATATCCCAAAGGTCTCTTCCACTTCTGTGTCAGAAAAAAACATAAGTCTCCTACACAGATTAAAACCACAGCCCACAGCCCAATGACTAGTGTAGAAGTGGAAAACACACAGCGAAATTGGAAAATTATGCAGTGCTGGTATTCTAGCAAAGTCACCCTCTAGACACAGCACAACCTTCTTATGGGGAAAAAAGGTGTTAATGAAAGGAATCTGAAAATGCAATATAAAACTCTTGCTTCATCCTGCTCCTTTCCAAGTCAATAGTAAAACTCCAATCTACTTCGCAGCAGACTCAACAGATAGTAAAGTCTTATGCTGCCTTTCACACAGGCTAAGAATGGCCACGTGCAAGTGAAGTAATACTGACATAGTTGGTGATTATACCAAGTATATCATCAAAAAGCAATTTTCCATGCAGGTTTTCACTAATATTCATCACTGACATCTCACTGTTATAGCCTTTAAGAGTAAAGAATGCAAATGAAAAAGCTTATGTGTGTGTCACACACGTGGTTTAAGTTAATTCTTATTTGCAGGCTCGCTGCAGGCTGCGTGCAAAGGGACTAGTCCTGAAGAAAGTGCTTCCAGCCTCTACAAGTGCCACCCTCTCGGCCAGGCTGAGGGGCTGGCAGCCACCCCGGGACCAAGCATCCTGGTGCCCCCGCCCAGGGACGCTGCGCACATCCCCCCGCCCCGCGGTGCCGGGATTCCCGGCGGACGGCTGCCCCGCCGCTCTCGGGATGAGTGCTGGCTGCCCCCAGTCCGCTTAGCGACCCGCTGCTGCAACGGGAAGGGAAGGATGAGATGGGGAACTCCTGCGCTCGCCACCCCTATAAGAGCTGTCGCTGTCGCGCCGGCCCCAGCAGCACTTCTCCGGCATCAGGATGGAGCAGCGCCGCAGCGCGGGCAGCGGCGGGCAGGCAGCGCCGCGTAGCGCCGCGGTGCGGGGCTGCAGGCAGCGGCCAGGGCTCTGGGCGCTGCTGCCCGCCGTCTGCCTGGCGCTGGCCCTGCCAGGCCGCGCTTGGGCGCTGCCGACGCCGCCGGCCCCCCGGCACCGCCTCGCCGATGAGCTGATCCGCTCCCGGGAGCTGCTGGCGGCAGCCAACGCCTCTCTCCACCGCGTGAAGGTCTGCGAGGGGCCTGGCGGGCGGGCGAGAGGACGGGAAGGCGGTGACGGGGCAGTGGTGGTGTTGAGGCAGGTGGTAATAGGGTGGTGAGGGTACCAAGCCAGGGTGTGATGGAGCAGCAGCGGTATGCAGGCAGGGATGGGGCAGTGAGGGGAAGTGGTGGTGAGTTATTGAAAGTACTGTCACATGCATTTCAGCCCCTTAGTCTCTCTGCTGCCTCTTGTATTTAACCACAGTCCTTACACAGTCTCATTCCTAGGATTCAGCAAGACAGCTGTGATGCATCATGTAAATTGTGTGTATTTATATATATATGTATATATATGTATATATATATACACACAGGACGGTGAAGCTGAATCAGTGACCCCTTTTTAACACAGGATCTCGGCACCCTGGGATTTGAATGTACCCTTGAAGAAGTTGATCTTGAGGATATCACTAAGAATCAAATGAATACAATAACAGCCTGCACATCTGAGGATCCAGAGGTAAAAAAATGTATCAAGTTCCAGAATCATATTTTCATGGAACAGCTATATAATTCACACTTCCACAAAATCACCATGTCTCATTTCTTTAATTTGCAGACTGGAAACTGTCCAGTGCTGGAAAGATCTACTTTTGATATGGTAAATCGCAAGTTTCCCAAAAGAACCCTTTTGTTGACTCGTTGTATGTTTAAAGCATTTAACAATGGATTCACACATTTCCTAATAATTCTGATTATTGCAGAGTAAATGCCTGCAGGGCATCCATAAGGATCTGAATGCCTACAGGGCAGAGCTGAAGAACTTCAATGATCAGGAGGTGCTGGCAACTATTGATGAAATGATGAAAGTAAGTCTTTCTGTCTCCTTCCTTTCTAGTATTTCTGTTTTAAACCAGGGGTTTTAATCCAGTTTGCTCTATTCTGAAGTCAGTCAAAAAGTGACTTTTCTTTAATCTGGTAATTAAAAAAAAATGTCTGTTGCTGTTTTTCCTAGAAGGGACTTGATTCTTACGAGTTGTGTGTCACAATTCATGTTTTTCCTTTGCTGCTATGTCCTCTCTATGGCTCCTTTGTTTACACTGCTCTGCTCTCACAGTGAGACACAGTACAGGATTTTCTGCCACTTCCACAGAGAACTCAAAAATAGAGTAAAAGATAGAGTAAAAGGGACACAGCTCTGTTTCTCTTCCAAATACTGAAATATAATACATCTGGTATACCAAATACGACATCGCATGTACTGAACTTTGACAAATATTATTAGTGGTTAGAGGGAATAAAAGTTAAAAGTTTGTTTGTTTGTTTGTTTCACAAAAGCTAATTAAAACAAAAGTTAATTGTGTTTGTATCGGCACAGCATCTCCCAATAGCCTGGAGATTCTGGTTATGGGCAGATGAACCCAGTCTAAAGGGTCGCTAGACAAAGCCAGCCATAGGCATATTATTTAAAAAGCATCTTTATTCCTGGACTGAAAGAGCATTTGTGCACAAATGGACATTTTTGTCTCAAGGAAAGTACAAGTGTGCATCCTAAGTCCATTAATTATATCATTAAATATTTCAAATTTTATCCTAGGTCTATTAATTATATCATTAAATATTTCAAAACTTATCCAAGGTCTATTAATTACATTAAATATTTCAAATTTTTCATTTTGGAGAATACATTCTTATTCCTAAATCCTGTAATTTATCACTTCGGGTGAAAAAAACTAAAGAGGTTTTTGGTTTAGCCACTTTCTGGCCATAGCTTGTAACACCCTGACCTCTTTGCAGGCCCTGAAGACCAGTAGCGGGAGTGCACCGCAGCCATTAGCAGGCACAGGGCTCACTTCCTTCAAAGGGAGGATGAGGCTGTGCAGCATCCTTCATGCCTTCCAAATCCGCACGATCACCATTGACAGGATGATAAACTACCTGACCTCTCTGGAGAGCGTGCTGTAAGTGCCCAGCCCTCCAGCACTCTGGGTAGAAATTTGACCTAAGGATGCTTTGGAGAAGAAATTGTAGGCTCAATACCCTGAGAGGCAGATGGGGACTTTTAAGGAATCTAGCGCATAATTTTTCTGTTTCTTATAAATCATGTTTTAATGAGGTGTTGTGAGTGCCTTTTAAGCTATCATGTTAAACCTCTGGATTTCTAGAATATAAGCTACATTGTGGTACCAAAATGTTCTCAAATCACCAAACACTCAACTAGAATTTCTCTTATTTATTCAGCTGCGATTTTCAGAAATTGAAACATATTTATAATAATCAATTTATTTATTATATTCTTTATTTATTGCCTAATAAAAGTATGCATAAAAATTGTAGTGGTTTTTTTCCTTGAGATATAACACAAATACTTTTAAAATACTTTGAATATACCCCATAGCAACTTTCAGCACTGATACCGTATTTTAAAATCCTGTTTCTACCTTCTTACTTACATCAGACATGGGTTTTGTGGATTTCCTCTCAGACTATGCACTCTAAGCAACCCACTTGATTTAATCCTCATTTACTGTGATTTTCCAGGCAGTTCATAGATTCTGGGGTGAAATCCCAGCCCCACTGAAATCAGTAGTGAAATTGTTTCAGGAAGCCAAGGATTTATCCATAGCTTTGAAGGCCAGAAGGGATGCTGGAATGATTATTTTCCCAATTCTTGCCTGCAGCATGTAAGCTAGCCTGGACAACAGCATCTATCCCCTATTTGGTGGGTGTGTCCTCAGCTGCACACTGACTTTGGCTACAACCCAGCCGACTCCTATACTGCCTTCACTGCCCATCGTCACCGGCACCTTGGTCTTCAGCTCTTTTTCCAGGCTCTGCTCTCCCAGCTCTTTAGGAACCCCTAAGTAGTCCCCTCTGGATGCTGAGGGGCTGATGGGACCCTCAGATCTTCCAAATGCTGAGGTGACAGTTGCTATCCTCATCCTCTCACCTCTGCCCCAAGCGCTGGTGTTACCTGCACACCACACTAGCCCTTAAAATGTAATCTTATAAACTCCCACTGCTTGAACTAGGGCCATGGTCCCTACTCCCATGGAACACCCACAGTGTAGATCAAGTTGTAAGGTAAGAACAACCTCACACTTTGGTGCTGTGATGCAATTGCAATATTTCAATTCCTCTGCATGCAAGAAGCATACAAAGCCAAACTGAAGGCCACAGAAATACTTTTTTTTTAAAAAAAAAAAGCCTCTTGATTTTGATGTAAAGATCCTGAATGTTGAAGACCTCATCTCTTCTGACCAGCTGCTATGCTAGCCAGTTACCCTCATTATTACAAATAACCGTCTTATTTCCAGCTCAGATCTACTGATTTTTGCTTTTGACCAGAGAGTCCTATTAGAGCTCTGTTTTTTAGTGGGTATCTTAAAGGTCCCCAGTGGCAATGTCCACCCACTTGCCCCAGAGAGAAGAGCTAAAGGCAGTTCCACCCAGGGATGAAGAGACTCACATCAACCTCCCTGCCCCACAAAGGTTTTTTTTTTCCTCCTAAATACTCCACTGGTAGAAGAGCCTGCCAGGTCCTGGGCACCAACACAGCCCTTTCCTGCAGCCACCCTGTTGGATGTATGCACCAGTGGAGCCTCAAGGGTTGGAAAGATGTCGGAAACATACAACAGCCTTGCAACATTCCATCCAAGAGCTAAAATTAAAATATATATATATATATATATATAAATAAAAAATCATATGTAAATAGTGTAAATGTCTCCTTTTTAATCCTTACTTTGTAAAAGTATGTCTCTTCTTTCATAAACATACGCAGAGGAAGATGATCAAAAGAATCCATGTCTTAGAAACAAGACAATATGCTGCATCAGGTTGCTGCTCTCTTCTGCAAATAAGATTCATTCCAAACATTTTCCAATTCTGCAGTACGTGCATTGCCAACAGAGTAACAGCCTTCACAGACATTTTAGCTTCTCCTATTTTAGTTTAAGCACCTAATTCTATTCAAGTTAAAATTAACCAAGTAAAAAAAAAGTATAAAAAGTTTATAATACTAAAAAAATTATACAACATAAAAAATTATCTCATAAAAATTGAGACAGACTATACAGAAAAGAGTGAAGAGGAAATTCCCAGAGAAAATTCAAAGCTGCCTAGAGTTAATAGTGGTGCTCCCATGAAACCACACTTCAGGTTTTTAGAAAACAGAACCACAGCTTAACAAGGAGTGAATGTACACGAGTATATACAGTAATTATGTATATATACAGTGATTATGCAAAGGAATTTATCTGCAAGTTTAGGATTATTCTTCCCTGATCTTGGGTATCTGTAAGAAGTACAATGTACCACATGATTTTGGCAGTTCAATATTTTTTTAAGGGGACAAAAGTTTCTGTATAACTTTTCTCCCTGTCTTCCCTGATTTAAATAAAAATGTTTCCAGATAATAACCATATACCTGAACAAGGTAAGCTGGTTTCTTCCAGTGTTCATGTCTTTTAGGACTAGCTTAAATGAGACAAAGCAGGGTGGCAGTGTTGGGTTTCCCTGTATGTGAAGCCCGGCACTGCCAGCTGCAATGCTGGGATTCACTACATGAGTAATTGCTCATGCAAGTCTTAAGTGTGCTTACATCCATGCAAAAATTCATTCACATTTCTTGCGAATATTCTGCCTAAACTTTCCGCTCAGTAGTGATGCCTCGCATCTTCCTTCCCAAATCCAAGCAAGATGCAGGGGAAGTGGCCAGAGAAGTATAATGGTCGGCTGGGGAAGCTCCCATCGTTCTACTCCTAGATGCAGCTTCACCAGCTCAGCACTGAGCCGAGAAACCTGAAGAAAGGCAATGGACAAACATACATGGATTATCTGATCTCTTGAAGTTACTGCAATGTTCAGTTGAATAATAAATGCATTAAAACCCTATGAGACAGCACAAGGCTATTGCACAGACAGGTTTGCGAAGGCAAGATGAGCGAGGGAGCACAAGCAGCTCTCCACCCTTTGCAGCCAGGCTGCTTTTAAGGAGAATTAAGAACAGAGTTTTGTCTATTCCAGAAAATAAAAATATATTTAGATTTTAAGTGAGGTTCCCCTTGGCTGGCTGAGTTCTCAGCTCAATGAACAACTTTGGTTTGCAGAAGGTGAAGCAAATGCAAGAAGTCCCACAGAAATGAGTGGGAGCACCCATGGACAGTGAGGAAAAACATACACACACACACAGATCTGCAGGACCAAACCACTAAGTCATCCCTTGGGGGAAAGTGTTAATTTTTGTTCCTAAAATATATACAAGTAAAGACCCAAACATCTCTTCTTAGGACTTCCAGAGAAGACCAAGAATTGGACTAGGTATATAACACTGACCACGACAGCCAGGTCATGCTGAGTACTCTCAACTCAATCAGTGCAAAAATAGTATTTATACCAGTTTCTGAAGGGAAGCATAAAAATGTCAGAAGGAACAAAGTAACTGCTAATATGAGAAGGGAGGTAATTTTTACCTACGTAGTAAAATGTGTACAAGGTATGTGGTAAACTCTATGATGAGAATTCAAAAAATACATCTGAAACAAGCTCATGTAATTAAATAAATGTAATGGGAAGGCAATACCTTGTAGTGCTTGCAGTATCTCATAGGATGCTTTTTCATGGAGACTTTTGTACAAAGCTTCAGCAGTTCCATTGCCTTGTTCTCTGTCTCTCCACTTAGTTAACAGCAGAAATTTTTGCATATTAACTTCATCCTCTGTTGCCTGAATCTGCTCAATGTCTTTCATTTCCATCTGAAGACACTCAATGGCAATTTCTCTCCACTGCCTACCAAACAATTTTGCAATCACCATCAGCTGTTGGTCAGTTAAGGTTCTTGTTTCAATTCCACCTGAAAAGACATAGAACAAAAATCAGATTTAACATTTAGCTTCTTGTTAAACTTGTGAACAAATTACACTGTAGTTCCGTGCATGGCCAGGGGACATACAATGAAGGTAATCTTATTATTTGGATCAGCTGGCAACATCAGACCCCAGCACTGGAGAAAAGAGCCTGAAGGACTGGGAAGCCTAGCTCATGAAGATGACAGCATCTGCTTGCGTGCTGGCTGCTGTAAAGGGTTGGGTTTTTTTTCCCCATCTATAAGCAGCTATTCATCCAGCATATGAACTTCCCTTGGTACATTAGGTTACCAAGCACCCAGAGATTTTAAAACACATAACATTAAGGTTATCCTAAGCGCTTGCTGTCTCACGGCAAGTTCAGATGTCTGCTGCTTTTGAACCCTACAGCTGCCCCAGAAAGGGGATGTTTGTTTTTAATTTCAATGGCTCCGAAACCTCAGCCCGTGCTGTTACACAGACAGAGCCGCCTTCCTTCTCCGTGTCACCACTTACACATAAAACTGAAGGTTTGAGGGATGGAAGCTCTCCCTCTGCTGGCTGCACGTACCCATAAACAAACATGTACCTGGCTACTTCTGATAATTTTTTTCATTTACTTATTGAACTAACATGATTTCTTCTGTATTTTTTTCAAGTAACTACTAGTAAATGAGTAACTTCTGAGTGGGAGCTCCCAGACACCCAGCACTTCTGACCATCAGGACATTACCTATCAACCAACAGTAAATGGGAGCCGATTTTTTCTCAGACAAACTCAGCCTGTTACAGCTCAGGAGATACTCCAAATGCAAAATCTGAGCCATGTAGTGGAAACCCCTTTCAAAAACAGGCACTATTTCCCAGTCTTACAAGACAACTACATTTTAGCTGACCCTTACAAAGGAAACTTCCTAGCTGCTTCTTACCATTTACTTCCTGAGTGAATGACAAGTGTAGCAAAGCATACAAATGAGGCATGAATTCTGCACCTATAAAAGGAGCACTTTCCTCTCCTATATTTCATGCTCAGATTTGTGGAAGTCTTTTAAAAAGTAAGCTCAGGTTCAATTCCAGGGATACAAAAAAAAACAACCAACTAACCAACGAACCAAATAAAAACATTATTACAAATGACACAGAAACACTCCACCTGCTTTATTGCCGGTCCTCTGCTTTTTGCTACATAGCGCATCGTCATCCAAAATGCTGAGGGATGGTTTCCGTTTTTTGACACCTGAGAAGCAAGCAAGAAGTGATGTAACTTCTTTCACATCACTTGGGCAAGCGAGGTACACAAAGAATAGGTAACCCCAACTGATCTTGAAATCAACTTACTGACTGTACTTCTTTTCTGCTCATTTTTGTTCTGATCGTAATGTATCCAGTCACCTGGGAAACAGTTTTCAGAGGAAACAAAAGGTGAGGCAGGAATTCCCATTGCTATGCTCTACATCAAACAATTCTCA